TGTTATAATTTTTATTTTCATAAATTTTTCAACTATAACTTAGCCAATGTGCAAGATTGTAAACGGTGTAATCATTTTATCTAATACATCATTTTGAAAAACATTATTTATTTCTGAAACTTCCGACGAGAAAATAAACTTTAAAATAAAATTTTGCAACTATAATTTAGTTACGAAACATAGTAAATAATATCATATGATCCGTAACGTGACCATATTATCTGTTGAAGCAAAATGTATTAAATATTTCTTTTTTTTTTTTTAACTATAATGAAATTTTTAATTTTATTATAGTAAAAATCATACCAAATAATAGACAACAAAAACAATTTAATTTGTATGAAGAAAATATATAGTAAAGAATTTAAAAAAAAATAATGTGTTATAATTAAACGAAAAATTGACAAAATGAAAATTAATAATAGAAACTTCTGATCAAACTAAACGCGTAAAAAACGACAGCTTATTATTTAAAAGAAATGAAATCATATTATTCTTAATAAAAATGTTTAAACTTTTTTTTTTTTAGCTCAAACAAACGTGTTGAGCCACATATTTTGATAGATATAATAGAAATAATTGTTATAATAATTAATGAACTCCTTATTATTGGGAAGTGACGAATGATAGAAATATAGGAAAAATTTAAAATTAAAAACACAAGAAATTTGAAAATTTTAACATAAATAATAAAATTGAATGTATAAAGAATTATTAAAATATTAAGGTACCTTCAAGGATTTCTAATAATAAAGCTGTTGTATATCTATTCCAAATAAAATCAGTTGCCTCACGGATTTCTACTGCTATAAATTTATTTTTTTCAATTGCAAAATTTAATAATTATAAATTAATGAGTTTAACAACAACCTCGAGCAGGTAGGAAAATTTAAAGTTTAAAACACAAGTATTTTGAACATTTTAAAATAACTAATAAGATAGAATGTATAAAATGAAATAATGAATTGTTAACATTTTAAAAATTTTAGATACCTTTGCGTTGCTTGTAAGCTTTTTTATATTCCATATTAAGTTTATGATATTCGATTTTTACTCCTTCTTCAGCACTTTTCCAAATATCAGTGATTGTTTTACGAATTTCTACTTCAGTTTCCTTTGGAATAAATTCATGCGCTTTACGAATTTCAGAAGCGCAATCCAATTTAAACATATCAAACGAATTGTCGATTTTAAGATTCTTTTGAATTAAATGTGCGATGTTAGGTAACTTCCACCTCAAATATTTATTTCTTTCAAGATGTAATACTATGATGTTTAATTCTTTGTCGATTATTGATATAGTGCAATCATAAATGGAAGGGATTTGGATTTGTTTATGTTTTTTCATATTGGCTTCGTTTTTGTATTGGCTTTTTTATATTGGCTTTTTCGACTTTTTAACTTACAGCTTGTACAGTTTGTTCAAAAATTTAAAAAAAATTTAATCGTTTGAATAGACGCGAGCGAATTATCAATCAAACTGTTTTTTATAACTGACTTTAAGATCTACAAATATCCTATCTATCCCAAAAAGTAAATTATAAGGAAATGTTAAATCACATATATTTAAGTGTTTACCTTCATTTACCATATCAGGTAAAGTACAGTATTTTTTCGATGACTAAATAAATTTACTGTATAAAATATAAATATTTTTTTCTTACAATTTACTTTTCGGATTATAATACTGCGGAAGACAAATAACGAATAAGAATTGCTTTTTTTTTTTAAAAAAAAAAATTACTGAATAACAAAGCGATAATTGTTTTGATATTATCAAAATGATTGATTTCAATAAATGTAGTATTAAAGGATTTTTTCTATGAACCATGGCGAACAGATTTTGTTGATGAGAGATAAAGTTTGCTGTGAAAATCCTGAAATCACTTCATTTCTATATTGTTAAGCTCGTATTAAACTATGACATATACTGTACATAACAGTTTATGACCAATTTTTATTTTTATCGTAATGAATCGTATAC